GTATAGTGAGAAGAACTCACCTCCCAAGTAGCTCGGAATGATAATATCAACCTCCTACAAATACAGTGCCCACACCATCACTTATACACATCAACGATCCAATTCAATAAATTCCTAAATTACCAAAATAACCCCATAAGTTAAATTGGTCAACCCTTGGTCAATGAAAAGTCAACAATCAAGGTCAACAGTCCATGTTGACCAAACTTGTCGAGTGCAGCTCACTGACTCGTCGAGTCCTTCAATAACACGAAGAATCATGAAGATCCTAGTTGACTCACCGAGTTCCCAGGCAACTCGTTGAGTTCATGCGTGTCCACTATCGAAAAAACTCTAACTGACTCGCTGAGTTCATGCAGAACCCTTAAAGGCTAATCTTCATCAGACTCACTGAGTTGGACATGCAACTCGTTGAGTCCCTTCAGTCCTTTCTTCATTGAGATGTTTATAAGCCACCCCAAAGCTCCATATTGTAGATATGAGTTCCTAGAACATACTTCCTACTTAAAGTTTCAAACTTTACGTACATGCAAGGTGTTAAGGGCCAAAATCAAGCTAAAGAAGAGGTTCTAAGGGACGAAAAGCATTATCTTGCTAAAGACTGAGGCTTTATGATTATAAGAACCAAGATGAGCCTAGATTTGAAGTTGCAACTTCAGATCATGCCCAATACCCGAAATCAATCACCAACATGCTAAAATAGCCCTAATCTCAAGCATGAAAAGATCTAGTTAGAAGGAAGCTCAAGGTAACGACTTGTTACCTTCAAGTGATGCTAAAATGGAGTAGAATTCTGATCCATAACTTTTCCTTGCTCCAAGCTCCTTAGTCTTCAAGCTCCTATCACCAAGATCTTCCTTCCAAGCTTAATAACACACAAATATGGAAAGTAATTATGATTTAGGGTTTATGATCTTAAAGGGGGCTGTAAGAGAGGCTAATGACCCTTTAAATAGGGTGCAAAACCCTGAAAATTAGGGTTTCATCTTCCATCTCCAGCTCGTCGATTCGTGTCCTCCAACTTGTCGAGTTGGGCACTTAATACACGCGAGCAAATTCGTTCCTACTCGACGAGTCAAGGCATCCAACTCGTCGAGTAGACCTTCCAAAATGAATATAAGACTGTAAAGTTTATACCTGAGAGTTGGGGTGTTAAAATTTTCCCCTAATTGAACTAGACATTGTCCTCAAAGTCTGCTGCTATGAACAACTCCGGGTAATGCACCCGCATCTCAGCCTCCGGCTCCTAGTCTATTCAGATCCTCTCCAGTGCTCCTATTGTACCTTTACCAAAGGTACCTCCTTGTTCCGTAGAACCTTCACTTTCCTCTCCAGAACGGCCACTGGCCTCTCTATGTAATTCAGGCACTTGTTGAGTTGTATGTCATCCAATAACACCACTGCCTCCTTATCTAATACGTACTTCCGCAACTGTGACATATGGAAAGTGTTGTGGATCTGTCTAAGTTCCTCTAGTAGGTCTAGTCTATATGCCACCTTGCCAACCATGGAAATGATCCTGAATGGCCAGATGTATCGGGGACCCAATCTCCCTCTTTTCTTGAAATGGATCACACCCTTCCAAGGCGAGACCTTCAGGAGTAACATGTCACCGACCTAAAACTCCAACTCAGATCGACACCTGTCAGTGTAACTCTTCTGCCGACTCTGTGCGGTCTGCAACCACTGTTTGATCTGCTGAATCCTCTCGGTAGTCTGCAGGACTACCTCGGTCTGTCTCATCACCCTATGACCGATCTCACCCCAAAAGATTGGGGTGCGACATCTCCGTCTATACAAACAACTCATATGATGGGGCACAAATACTGGAATGAAAGTTGTTGTTATAGGAGAACTCTGTGAAGGGTAGGTAGGAGTCCCAACTACCACCAAAGTCAATAACGCAGGCTCTCAACATATCCTCGAGAGTCGGTATGATCCGCTCACTCTGACCACCCGTCTGTGGATGATAGGTTGTACTGAAATGCAGATGCGTGCCTAGTTTCTTGTGAAACTTCTACCAGAAACGATATTAGAGGTTGTATATGGGGGGTACCCATGACATCCTTATAAGTTTATATGCTTGGCTTGTATATGTTAGTTGATTATGTGACATGTGGTACGATAGTTGTTTATGATAGTATGCGATATGCTAGTTGTCTTTGTGATACTTGCATGGAAGACCCCGGGGGAGCCTGTGTCAGTTGGATATCAGACCATGTGGGGGAGCCCATGGCAATCCCTACATGTTTATATGCATGGATTATGTGATTGATATGGTTTATGTAGTTGTTATAGCTAGTATGGATTATGTGGTTATATGGTCTATGTGGGGTATGCTCTGGGGGACTCACTAAGCTTCGTGTTTACAATTTTGTTTATTGTTTCATGCGTCATCGGTTTGGAAAAGAAGGGCTCGGATTGATCGCAGCGCATACACCATGTTTTCCGCAATGAATGATTTTGGGATAAACTCTGATAAATGTTTTAATTAGCGATGTTTTGGAATGTTTGGAATAAATGATATCTATGTTTTGGTTATATTAAAAATGAAATTTTTACTCTTGATTTTTGGGTCGTTACATCTAATCCACCTTAAACACACCAATTTCATTTTTTATAATGTTTAAAAAAAAAATACTCATATATTAGGAAATTGAGTTGACCAACTATCACCCATGCCAAGAATCCTGAATTCTTCTACCTCCCCACCAACACCATCTTCCATCTTTAACTTCCACCAACTGAGAATTTTTTTAAAAACTCCCAAAAACTTTCTTTCTATCACACGCTCTATCCAATTAGATTGATTGTTGAAATCAATATATAATCAAATCCTATAACTCAAAACATAAAAACCTGAAAGATGGATGAAACTTGAAGAAGCAAACACATCAAGATCTTGATTTGAAGAAAGTCGATAAAAGTTGCCATTGACTCGATTTTAGACGCCATGAACCCTTGACACTGAAATGGTTGGTGAAGGAGACTTCGGAGATGATTGCGAAGAAAGAAGCCACAAAGAAAGTTTTGGGGAGTTTTTAACAGCTTGTTGTAAACCTAATCACCTTCAATCGTCTCCCACATATGGCTAGGGTTAGTGTTGAGATCAGAGAAGAAGACGTCTTTGTTTGTAAACCCTGATTCGATCCCGTGTAATGCAATGGAGTCGACGTACACATTAACTCCCACCCCTAAATAGTTTTGTACTTTTGTTGCTTATGAAGATGAGCACGCCAACAATTATGGTACACGATTGGTGAGGAAAAGCAAACTGAGAAAAAAAGCCACATAAGCTTAGATTTGATTTCTAAAGGAAAATATAAAATATAAAATAAAAAGCCACCTAGGATAATTATAACCAGTGAAACCGGGTTAAATTGTATAGTTTCCTTATTTAATTGATAAAATAATACTTTAAGGAGTAATTGAGCAAAAAAAAAAAAATAATAATAATAATAAAAAAAAAAAAAACCTTAGTGACAAATCCAAAACAAAGACCAAGCCAAAACTTTGTTGTATTACAATGTCATTTTTCTAGTAGAAATGCTATTTTTGTTTATGAGATGAAACCAATAATTGAAAAAACAAAACATAAATCAATAGTAGAAGACTATAAAAAATTCAGAAATGTTAGGTGATAGTTTTGGAAAGGATGAATCTCTAGATCAAACAATAAAATTGACAAAAATATGAAAAATTAATGTTGAGATTAGACATAAAAACTAGATAATACCCCACGTGTCCTAGCCTACTTACTTGTGTTTATAGCTCAATTAGAGTTTGAGACAATCATGTTAGGAATGTCAACAGTGGCAAACGGAATGGGGAGTGCATCCCCCGCCTCCGCCCCTGAAATTTCACCGTTACCCCGTCCCCGTCCCGTCCCCGAAATGTTTATCCTTCCAACCCCCGTCCCCGCCCTCTGAATCCCATTTATTATCCCCGCCCCCGCTCCCGATTGATTTTGGGGTGACTTTTTTTTGGCTAAAAGAAGTTGATATTTAAAATAAAAGAATATATTTTTTAGATAACAAATAATTATTTATAGCATAATTTTATATGTTAAAAATAAAAACGTTATGACATCTTAAAAACATTATACTAACAACTTAAAAATATGTTTTTTGATGAATTTTGAAAGCTCAAAATAATGTTATTTTTATTATATTTATATAATTAATATATGTAAATATATATGCAATTTATCAATGCGGTCCCCATAGGGGTTTCGGGACGGGATTGCCCACCTCCGCCCTCGCCCCCAAAATTAAAACGATGGTTAACCTTGGTTCCGGCCCCGATTTTTTTTAGAAAAAATTCCCAAAATGAACGGGACCCCATGAAACTTTTTGACATCCCTAAATCATGTCGTTCAATAGAAACTTTAAAATTAGTTCTCATCCGTTGAAAAGTATTAAAAAGTAATAAAAATACAATTTATGAAAGAAAGACATATCCTTTTAATTTGAGAAATCAAATATCCTCTAATCTTTTATTTACTTTTCATATTCATTAATCTTTTATTTCTACCGATCTTTATATTCATTAAATCAAGACAAATAACAAATGTTAAAATAATAATAAAAAAAATTCCAGACGTCGTAATTTATGTTTTAATTATGTTGTTTTGTGAATCATTTTTACTTGTTTTAAACTTAACCAAACCTAATATACTTTGACATCACGTTTCCACCTCACAAGGCAAAAAGGTAATATCACATTTCAAACAAACGCAATAAAATTTCATATCCATATTTTTTATTTATATTTTATTTAAAACGATATATTTTTCTCTACCAATAAAATAGTTGACGATCCCATTCAACATTTTCCTTCTCAACTACAAGGGCAGAAAAGTAATTAAACATACCCAATAAAGGCATTATTCTCGCGATCCTTCGATAACAATCACATAGCAACTACTATATATACCGTTCCTCAATCCATGGCAACACTTCACTTCAACCACCCAAATTTCCCTCCTTCTCCGGCGAATCATGGCGCGTTACGAACTAGACCTCACCATTTCCTCCGCCAAAAACCTCAAAAATGTCAACTGGCGTCACGGTCCTCTCAAGCCCTACGCCGTCGTCTGGGTTGACCCGAAAAACAAATGCTCCACACACGTCGACGAAGAAGGCGACGAGTCGCCGGTGTGGGATCAAAAACTCACCATCCCTCTCAACGATCGGATCGAGGACTCCACTCTCTACATCGACATCGTTCATGCTAACGCGGCGGAGGACACCAAGCCGTTGATCGGCTCCGCCAAGCTCAAACTCAAAGACGTCGTTGATGAGGTCGGAATCGGTGAGTATTTCGTCGATACTTTAAAACTCAAACGTCCCTCCGGCCGCCCTCACGGGACGTTGGAGGTGAAAGTCTCCGTTAGGGAACCGAGCTATCGTGCGCCGGATCCTTACTACGCACCTCCATACGGCGTTCCACCACCACAATCACAATACCCAGCTGCTCCGCCACCTTACGGTGGGGGTTATCCCTACGCTGCTCCGCCGTCTGGGTATCCGTATTCTCCGTACGGTGCTCCTCCTCAATACGGTCAGCCTGGTTATGGGCAGTCTACTGGTTACGGTGGTCAACAACCGTCGTACGGCGAGTATAAGGGGGAGAAGGAAAGCAAGTATGGGATGGGAACTGGACTGGCGGTTGGTGCGGCGGCGGGATTGGTGGGTGGGTTGGCGATTGCGGAGGGGATTGATTATGTGGAAGATGAAATCGCCGAAGATGCCGCCGAGAAAGTTGAGGATGATCTCGGGTACGACGTCGACGACGAATAGACAATTATACTTTATCCCTCTTTTTATTTGTTCTTTCTGTTTCCTTTTATATAAAAGGGAATCGATGATGTTTGTCTAATGTGATTTTAATCATTAGTAAAAATCAAGAATCGCATGAATTGAAGTTGTTACAGGTTGAAAATGATAAATGGTATGATCGAAGTTAATTACATTACATGCATTGTTGGATATGTAGCTTTACCTTGCTCATAGATGGATTCATTTCATAATATCTCATTTAAGTTTAAGGCTTAAAGCTGAAATTGATCTTTAAACTATTGTCTAATTTAGCCCGTTTACTTTTTTGGGTTGTCTAATGTTCTTTAATTTGTTTTTGGTTGTGTATATTAGGATAATGACTTAAAAAGTAACGAAGTTTCAAAAGTATACAAAAAATATCATTGTTGTTTTTTTTTTACACAAAATACTATTTTACTGACTATTGTAGGTTATCCGGTTTCCAAATGTTCAAAAAATACCATTGTTGTTTTTTTAGTACAAAAAATACCATTAATGTTACTATTTGTACTCAGAATACCAACAAAATACAAATGTGTTCAACTAAAACATTATGGTAACCAGGTACTTCAGGTAAATGGGATGAGATGAGCGTAATCAACAAGTGCTTGTTTAATTTTTGTTGAAATTGTTGGAAATGATCTTACTTCCACCGTATGATCAGTTTAACAAGATTACAGGTGATGCTTCGGTTGATAAAATTTTCTTCAAATCGGTGATGAGAAGAGCGTAATCAGCAAGTGCTTGTTCGGTTGTTAGATAGGCTAAAGTAGAAGCATTCTTGTATGCCTCTTTCTGGCTTCCATATGGCATCGATTCACCATAATATCGATGCTAGATCAAATCATGCAGCTTTTGATAAAATTGTATTATTAAAGGTCTGCAAGTGAACAAATTAATGTAGAGTAGAGTAATTAGGGCTTTTACTTCGGGGAAGATGACCATGGCACCAAAACGAGGGGTGAGTTCCCAAACGAAGTCGGTGTTGGCAGCGAACCATTCGATGTCGCCTTCGTTGCCGCAATAAACGAAGATTGGGCCCAAACTACTAGGGCCTGGGCCCACCCAGTGATCGGAGTTGATGAGATAACGTTGTTGGAACTTGGGAAGATCATTGAAACTGAAATGATCAAGAGTCTGATCAAAGTATCGTGTCTCGTAAGTGTACTTCGGTTGAACAAGAATTTTTGGGTTTTGAGAAGCCGTGGGGATTTGCCGAGAAACGGAGGTGGCCGGTGAGATTCCGGCGTTGATGAAAGTAGGCAGATGATTAGGAGGAAGAATAAGAAAAAAGGTTTTGCCATGGTGGTGGAGGGTGGCGATGAACAACAGTAGTGGTCGAAGTGAAGTGGAAGGTTCTTTATAAAAAGTAACTAAATTTCCATTACATTCAAAGAAGGAAAAATGACTTAAAAAGGTAACGAAGTTTCAAAAATGTACAAAAAAGACCATTGTTTTTTTTTTGTACACAAAATACCATTTTACCGGCTATTGTAGGTTACCCACAAGGTATTATTTGAACACATATGTACTTCATTGGTATTTTGTGTATAAAAAATATACTTTAATGGTATTTTGAGTACTAAAAATAACATAATGGTATTTTTTTGTACATTTTTAAAACTTCATTACCTTTTTAAGTCATTATCCCGTGTATATTTTACTTCATTATAACAATGGTCATACCAAGACATAAGGATGTAAATATAGTTTTGAAAGTCGAATGACTACGATTTATAAAAAACAAGTTTTTTTTTTTTTTTTTTTTTTTTGACGACAAATCTGATCTACTCCTAAAATCCATATATATTCATGACGAGATTTGAACCTGAACCTTAAAAAGTAAGGGCGACATCAGATACCACTAAGCTATAACAAGTATAGTGAATAAAACAAATACATTAACAATTGAAGAATAAATCTGAACATTAGCCTTTTTTTAACAACTTTATTGGTTCTTTAATTCTTTTGTTTTCTCATATTTCTCACTTGGTGTTATAACACTAAGGGTGTGTTTGGCACGGAGCTTTTGGAAACGTTTGGGAGCTTTTAGCTTTTAGTTTTTGATAAAACACGTAGTTTAAACAAAAAGCTTCGTTTGACAGTACGAGTGTTTAGCTTTTAGTTTAAACAAAACGCTCCAAATCTAAAAGTTATTTCATGTAGAGTTTAACAAAACGCTACTGAGCTTTTCAAATCAATTTCCATAATTACCCTTAAAATTATATTTATATATTTATTTATTTTTAATCAATTGTCCTTTTATGTAATTTTATATATTTCAAAAGCTTCCAGCTACTTTTGCCAAACACTCATATAACAAATAAAAGTTACAACTTCCCGCTACATGCTACCATCTACCCACTAACCGCTTCCAGCTAACAGCTACTTTTGTCAAACACGCCCCAAGTGAAGAAATCCCCAACATGTTATAAAATCCATTAATTTTCATGTTATCATTTATTTTATTTTCTTTTGTATTTATTTTTTTAGTATTTATAAAAACAAAATTAATTTTATAAAATGTGTTATTTAAATAAAACCCTTTTTTTATTAAATATAGCATTTAAAATTCTAAAAAAAACATCACAACAAAAAACAAATAACATTTAAAAACAAAAAAATATTCCTTTTTTGCTCATAAATTATTCGGTACTATTGCATATATAATCTGTCAAGTCTTCTTAAAGTCATTTGTGTTTTCGTGCATCTTGAATATCAACAACTCTATGTAAGTATTCCACTGTCTCCGATTGAAATTACACATGTCTGGGTTTCGTAGCCATATACTCCGCAATATTTCGTCATTTATCTTCAATAACCATGGTATACATTATGATACATGCATACATAATATCCCGTAGAGTTTCTAACCGATATGGTTGTACCGTATGTTCAACTATATGTCATTTCGACTTTAGAACTCTAAAAACATGTTCCACATCATTACATGGTCTTTGCATTCTCTTGAAAATTTTGTCTTTTGGTTATACTCGATATCAAAAAGCCTTCACAAATGTGGAATATGCTAGAAATCTTCCGTCCGTAAGGTAATACCCAAACTTATATTCATTTTCATTCATTGTGAAAGGAGCATCTGATGCCTTTCCTGACAAAAGAGAGTCGAATATTGGTGACTGATCAAGAACATTGACGTCGTTGTTGGAACACGCTACCCTGAAAAAAAGCATGCCAAATCCATAAATCTTGGGAAACAACATCCTCTTATACCAACAAAGGCGTTCCATGATGACCACTTGCATACTGGTCATTCCACGCCACATGACAATTTCTCCAGTTTCAGTGTGTACAATCAATGCTTCCAAGCATACTTAAAAAACCATGTCTTTCTTCATGTGCCACATATAGTTGTTGCATATCATTCAACGAAGGTTTGCTCAAATAAACATCACTGAAGGTTTCTCCAACAACTTTCGCAAATCTATACAAACTTTCTCTTATAGTTATCTTAGACATTCTCATATAATCGTCAACAGAATTAGGCGACTCCCCCATAGCCATAAGCTTAATTGCTGCAACACATTTCTACAATTTTGTGAATCCTTGTTTACCTCTAGCATCATATCTCATTTGGAAAAATTCATATATAAATGTATATTTAATAGGTAAAAAATGTATTTAAATTATGTAAAAGCTACATTTATAATTTACAAAACTTGAAAGAAACAATACATGCTTTTCAGGGCATTGGCTATCCGTATAAATGCACTTTTCCAAAAATGAAACCTTCTTCTTTTGAAAGCATGTGGCTGGTAGATACAATTATCCGCAAAATAATTGGGAACTACATGTTGGTGTCCTTCTTCGTGATTTTTATTTAACATCGTATGTCTTGTTAGTTGAGGAGATGAATCTAGTTGTAGTAGTATGTTCGTACAAGTACATCGTATGACGAAGATATCGTCATCGTCATCATCATTGCACGGGTGAAACAGCTGAAATAAATTCATTTTTTTTCCAAGTATTGAAAGTTTATGAAATATAGAGAAAGAAAATAATAAGGTGAAATAATTCTGTATAGAATGTATGTATTTACATGTATGTAAAATTTAATTAATTTTTTTATCATCTAAAATGACTGTTTATTGGTCAAAGCCCGTTTGAAAACGTTCGAATTCATTGTCATTTTACGCGTTGCAGCTTGTTACCTTGGCAACGGGTGAGGGAGATGGGGAGGTGTTGTACGCGTTACCATGCCGTTAAGGGCATACCATGTCTAGTGACGGATCTAGAACTAAATATAATTAGGGTCCATTTTCATAAAAATTATATAAAAACGTAAAATTCATTTTTTTTTTTTTGGGTTTTTCGGTAAAAAGAAATGTCAATTGGGGCAATTTTATGTACAAGTGAGTGTTAAAGAGGATGTTTTAGTAAAAATATGATTTTTAAAGAGCTTATTAGTAACAAAAATGGTAAGATCCATTTCTAAGTGCGGTCCATGCACCCTACTTAATGGGATAGCTGCATCCGCCACGGACCACGTCAATAATAACAGAGGTTAACGGCCCCATACCACATAGTCTAATAGGGACCAAGAGGCCGTGGTTTTTGGAGCAGTAAAAATATCTATTCCAAAAGTAGAATTAATACATAAGTAATACTCAAAATTTGTTTAAAATGAAGTAAAAGACACATGTAAAATCATATCAATACAAAGTTTTAAAAAAGCGTGTAAATATGAAGACGAAGTTGTAAAAAACATACAAAAAGTTGGTCAAATTTATTAAAAAATTAATGTAAATTTGTAATAGAATTAAATGTTTGGGTAAATTTGAAAAAAAAAAAAAAAACATGTTAATTATCATTAAAAAGCTATTGTACTGGTTCATAATGATGTAATATATACACGATCGAAACAAGTTAAAGTATTTATAGGCTTAAACTAATAGAAAAAATATAAGTAAATAGATATTTAAACAATATTTTAAGAACCAATTTGAACCTTACTAAACATAAAAGTCCGAGGCAAAACACCTAAAACGTAATTATGTTCATAATCAAACTAATTTTTAACGACCTGTTTTAGCTGTTTTGACTCCGTTTGAACCTTGCTGCTAAGCTTGTTAATTAAGCACAAATATTTTAAACTATTGTTGTTTAATATAAAGTAAATTAGTAAATATCTAGACTAATGTTTTCTAGTGCAGGGAGTACTGGAACGAGTGTTTGAGATGAAACTAGACTTTGGAATAAAGATGCTTAAAAGGTTTAGAGATATAAATACTATTGTTTTCTATGTTATTTATGAAGGGTATATTTGGAATTCCATATACAGGAAAGAATAATGCTAGTATTATTCTTTTCTTATGGGGACGGTTGACTGAACATTGAACACTTCGAGGCATTATCTAATGACTTCTAAAGATATCGTGTCTAGTACGTGTATCAAAATAAAGAGTTAAAACTTATTTTATAATTTTAATACAAAACTTTAATAAATAGTAGCTTAGTTTTCATTTATTGACAATTGGAGCTATAAGAATTTGAAATTTTCTAAAATTATATAAATGTACAATTGTTTAAAAAAAAGTAAATATATATATATTTTTTTTTTGAAAGGCAATTTTGAAAATTGATTTAAAAAGCTCAAAATATCATTTTGTTAAAACACAACATGAATTAATTTTTATATTTTGAGCGTTTTATTTAAACTAAAAACTAAACACTCGTATTTTCAAACAAATATCTAAATATTATTAAAAAAGAAATCTTATGACATCGTCTTAAATAATCTGGATCATTGATTGTATTTCAATTTTATTTTTTCCACCCTTAGATCAAATTGCTGACATCATCTTCCCTATGTGGAATGTATTTAATTCCAATAAATGTTTTCCAATCGTCAAACAATAACTTACATTTATTGAAATGAAATGTATTTAATTATAATAAAAGATTTCCATATTTTAAATCTTGAATTTTTATGAAGATTTTTATATGCTCAATATAAAAGCATATTACTAACAGACAATTTCAATCAAGACATTAATGTTGGAATCCTAAGTCGAGTAGGACTTGGAGACCAACCTAGTTTTTAGGAAATCATAAACAAGTTGGTTTATAGTTTCCTAATTGTAATCTAATTACAAGTCGGTAGTTAAGATTATATATACATTGTTTTAGGTCGAGCTATGATTATTGAAAAACATTGTAAACACCATGAGTTTTTGAGTGATATTCTCACAATAATCAAAGAGTTATTTTGATTAATATAATTGTGTTTACATATTCTGATCTTTAATTGGTATCAGAGCTTGAGTTAAGAAGTCGTGAGACCAAATTTCTAACTTATTGACAAGCTAGGTCAACATGGCTGATGCAGGGGGCGACGGAGGACCTGCTCCGGTGATTGTGAAAGAAACCGGATCAACTTCTATTCAATGTCCCATGCTCACTTCTACTAATTACACCGTCTGGGCACTGAGGATGAAAGTAGTGCTCAGAATTCACAAAGCTTGGACACCGATTGACCCAGGAACAGACGGTAATGATGAAAAAAATTACCTGGCAATCGGATTGTTGTACCAAGCAATACCAGAATCGTTGATTATGCAAATAGGTGATGTCGAATCAGCTAAAGTCCTCTGGGATGAGATCAAAGCTCGTCATGTTGGGGTTGATCGAGTGAAGGAGGCTCGCCTTCAAACCCTAAGCTCTGAATTCGACAGAATGAAGATGATGGAATCAGAATAGATCAATACTTTTGCGGGAAAGTTGTCCGGAATTGCATCTCAATCAGCAGCACTTGGCGAAACAATTGAAGAATCGAAGATGGTTAAGAAATTTCTTAAATCCTTACCGAAGAGGTTCATCTATATTGTAGCCTCCCTCGAACAAGTTATTGACCTGAAAACTGTTGGATACGAGGATGTTGTTGGTTGTCTGAAAGCATACGAAGAAAGAGTAAAGGAAGAGGATGCCGATGGGAGCGATCAATCGAAGGTACTATTTGTAAAATCAACCGGAGATAGAGATGGGTCGTTGTCTGGTGGTGCATGCGCATCGAGGTTACACAGTGGAACGAAAGGAAAGTTGAAAGGGGAAGGTGGATCCGGTGGATATAATCAAAACAATGGATCCGGATTTGGGTCAGTTGGATCGAGTGGGCCCAAAACAAATCGTAGCCGACAAGGAAATAAATACAATAACTCATCACAAGCCTAAGGTGGGGAGCCCAATTCTAATTCTAATTGCAAAAATTGTAATTGTTGATGTGACAAGAATCGGAAAAATAGGGAAAAAGACTGATCTACGGTGGTTTGTTTTCAGTGTGACAAATCGGGTCACTTTGCGTCTAAATGTACGGAACGACTCTAAAAATTACGAGAATGTGATTTTTCAGAACGTGACGACAGCGACGAGTCCGTGTTCTAAAACCGGATCAGGAGTTGAAGAATTCTTTAGAAGGACATAGAGATTCGGGGGTGATTGTTGGAATCGTAAGTCGAGTAGGACTTGGAGACCAACCTAGTTTTTAGGAAATCATAAACAAGTCGGTTTATAGTTTCCTAATTGTAATCTAATTACAAGTCGGTAGTTAGGATTATATATACATTGTTTTAGGTCGAGCTATGATTATTGGAAAACATTGTAAACACCGTGAGTTTTTGAGTGACATTCTCACAATAATCAAAGAGTTATTTTGATTAATATAACTGTGTTTACATATTCTGATCTTTAATTAATATCAACCATTAATATAAATCCGTTTATATTAGTATACCATTAATATAAAATCTATTTTTATTAGAAAATCATTAATACCAAAAAATCATATTCAAATTATCACATACATATACGATTCATCATTGAATCCGCGGCTCACACTTATTTTCAATCATTTCTTTTCTTCAAACCTTTTCCTGCAACATCATTCTTATTGCTTATAACTTCCATCATCTTTCTCTGCATCAAACATTCGCTCTTGTGCACTAGAAGGTGAGTACATTCTTTCGCTTTTTATATTTTTTTCGATTATTTTTTTGTTTCTATATCAAATATATGTATTCATATATTTCGATTTTATTTGTAACAAATTACATGAAATCTGTTAACTACTTTTTTGAAACTTTTCAAACAAACATGAAAAGATATTACGTACCTTTAACAAAACAGAACTAAACTATCTTGGGAACTAACATTAATTACGAAAATGTTACTTTTATATATTAGAGTTTATTATGATTTTTCTTTTATGTTATAAGAATCCAGTTAATTTTGACATTATTTTAAAATATCATTGAAATTATTATGTTTTCGTATATCATACCAACCTACCTTTTTATCTTTATATAGTAACAATAAAACTTATAAATTTGCACAACAAATATACATATTTCGAATTTTATAATATTATTATACCTTACAAAATACAACTCCCTCTAAAATAATTTTCGCCAGTAATTTCCTCCATAATTTCACCAAATTTAAATTTGTATTTTCTTTTTATAAATTTTTTTAATGATACTGATTTTTTTCCTCCAAAAGTATATCAAGCATTTACGTCTTAGATAATGTTATCCCATTATTATTATTACTTTCCAAAAATATATTCGTTTAATGAGAAATTTGATTTAATGAAGGAAGTAAATGTTAATTAAAACGAGATATATATTCCACAATTATTACACGGGTTTATTAAAAAAAATTAATATCGAGGTGTAAACATTAAACATTTTTAAAGTGACATTTCAAAATGCATACAAACGATGATGTTGTACAATGAAATATAAAATTGAATAGACTGAAAAAAAAAACTATTAAGATAATCAATCTTGAAAAAACATAGTTATGAAAAATTATAAGATATTAAGAGATTTGCAAAAAGTACAATTAGTAAAAACGTTACGGTTATTAGAAAAAAAAAATCGTTAAGATTAGTAAAAATACAATATATAAACTAAATTATCACAATAGTAATGAAATGTCATTATTTGATATTTCATATAATTGAAAGATATACCAAATTACATTGATGGTATACTAAAATTATTCAAAGTTACACTAAAACTAACGCAAAGTTCTTGTGAACACTACATAATTAATTTAAAATAAACCAATCATGATTTAGAAAAGAATCTCTATTAATAATATACTAAAATTAAATATATATAACATTTAACATTCAATAAATTATATTATATGACTTTATTTGAATAAATGAAATAATTGTTATTAGTTAATGTAGTGGAAAAAACAGTATATTGGTTGTTAATATATGTTTAAATTAGGTAACCTTATTATGAAATGAAAGTGTAATTAAAATGCTTATAATTATATAATAATATCATAACTAATAAAACAAAAAAATGTTGTCCGCAAAGTGGTCATTCAATGGTTAAAGATATTTAGCTTTTTTAATGTATTTTCTACACTTTTCAATAATACCAATAACTATATATATATATATATATATATATATATATATATATATATATATATATATATATATATATATATATATATATATATATATATATATATATAATCATTATACAATATCTGTAAACAATTATATGTTTTTATGCGTTTCGCGCGTTTAAAACGCGGGCTATAATCTAATTTTTTTGTTTAAACTAACATCTTTTGTCGAAAGCTAGAAGCTTTCAAATGTTACGTGTCAAATACGTACAATATATCATCCTAAACATCATTTAAAGGATAGTTTACAAAATAATGTGATATTAACATCACTCTTCCTCAAGTTAACCATTCATATATCAAATTATCAGTAGTGTACACCAAATAATAACATATACATCTAAAGGCACAAAATTCACACAAACACATTCAAAATGTCTAAAACCTCCGATAAAAAAAAATCAAATCCAAGATCCCATTCATAAAACCGAATAAAAAAAACACTCAAAAAAATATAAAAGAAAAATTAATCAAGAACACGTCAAAAGTCGCTTAATGCCGGTTTTTTGATCCGATGTAAGTCTTGAAGGAAACTTGATAGTAAACTTAACTCTTAAGTTCCCTTTCTTTGTGGGTTCTTTAGGCGTAGGCATCCCTTCTCCTTTGACAACTTCTTCATAATTTGGGGAAATTACAGAGTTTATGGGAATTGTTAAGCTTCTTCCATCAAGTGTTGAAACTTGCACAATATAACCGGTTAAAGCTTCACATAATGATATCTTTTGGGTCATAACAAGATCATTACCATCTCTTTTTAACACCGGATGCGGTTTTTCATCAATTATGAAAACAAGATCCGAAGGAATCACTCCTCGCCCTTCGTTTCCTTTCTCCGGGAATGTTATTTTTGTGCCTTTTTTCCACCCCGCTTTTATATCTATTGTTAAAATCTCTTCAATTGTAGTCGATCTCCTAAAATCAGAACAATTAGTATTTTGTCCTTTTGAATGTATCCGTAAAAAAAATTTACTCTTTTACTAACCCCTGAGCTGATACATTAGCCCAGAAGAATCATGTAAGATATAAATCAGGTACATAGTAACCTGCTAAGTGACCGACATAAGAATCTAGTATCTATGAATCAGTCAATCTATATTAGAACTGAAACTCCCATACAGTGTGATTTCACACGGACCGTGTGATTTCACACCGGATAGACTTTTCAAAGTATAATGTGCTGAAAATTGATTGGACGATACTATAAATGGATAGATTTTTTTCATAATACGAGGGCAGTGCATTGTTATTTCTTGCATTTAACGCGACAATTATAATCCATGACATGTAATGAAACAAGTGATAATGAAATTGAATGCATAATTTGAGTTGAGAAATTTGGAAAGTAAAATCAAAATCAGAACTCAAACTCACCCAGTATGATCAGCAACATCTCTTGAAATCTTCATCTTCTTTGTAGTTCCTTTATACAAATCCTCCAAGCTACATGGCAATGGTCGCTCAATTGTCGCGGCTTTTCTACAGGGCATACTGGCGGAGGCGGAGAACCCTTCTCCACCACCACCACCACCACCGCTTCTGAACTGGGCAAATGGATCTTCATTGAAAATACTCCGGGAAAATGAACTTGATGAACGTGATCCTCTCATGTCCCTCATTCCCCCAAATGGGCTCGAGTGCCCAAAAAACTCTGAAAAAATCTCATCTGCATTTCGAGGATTAAACCTAAATGTCGCAGAGCCTCCATCTGACATGCCGGAAAACGCACCAGGACCCGGTGGTGGCGCCTGCCCCTTCAATCCATCCTCGCCGTACTGATCATAAATGGCTCTCTTTTTCGGATCACTCAAAACCTGAACGTATATAATTCCGATCTAATTTCAGTAATCGATTCAAAAAGTTTATCGATGCATTAAACCCTTGCTTGAAAATCACGTATTCGGAAAATTTAGGTTTAGATATATGTAAATGCACATTGATCGGTGTGAATCTAAACCCAATTCAAATTATAATAATCGGTTTCAAAAGTCTATGAATTCAATACATTGATCGCTTTGAATGTATATACCCTATTCAATGTCAAAAATTCATACAAATTCAGTTGAAAACCTTGTTAAATTGACAATTATATGAGATTCGTTACATGTCGGCATTGAAACACATATGTTGATCAATTAATTTCAGAATACATACATCGTAGGCTTCAGAGATGGTTTTGAATTTGGCTTCGGCTTCTTTTTTGTTATTAGGGTTCTTATCAGGGTGCCATTTCATGGCGAGTTTACGATAGGTTTTCTTGAGGTCATCGTCTTTAGCATTGCGGTCCACCTGAAGAACCTTGTAGTAATCCACACCCATGGCTGCTCTCTAACTCTTTCTTTCTCTCTGTATATAAAAGTAAACTTGGTGATGAGATTTGCAGCTGGATGGTGTTTGTTGGGGATTCAGGAAATGACTCTCTCGCTTTCTCTGTTCCTTGTTGTTGGCAACAGAGGATGAATGAAGGAGTGTATATTTGAGAAAGGAATGAATGAATCAACGAATAAAAAGACAACACCGAGACCCCAGTCTATAATTTTATATTAATAATATTTTATAGAGTTGATATTACAAAAATGTTAGATTATTTTATTTTTTATATTTTTAAACCTAAGTAAATTATTTTATGAAAAAATTTCTTAGGCTACTCTATCCAGGTTCAAAACGGAAGATCATCACACTCTTTCTTTCAATCTATCCAACAACATTGGATCTACTACCGGGATTCCTATTCTTTTTCCGCAAGATTAAGAAGTATGGGCGCTACACTTCGAAGACTACGTGCTTAGTCTTGAAGATCATGGTTCCTTGATATGGGAGTCAATAACCCAGTAGACGTTTGCTCACACTGCAACAAGGAAAGTCATCAAAACTCAAGCCGAATACAACGCTCTTCTTATTGAACAAACGAACATTCCTCAATATGAAAAGAAGAAGTTAATGAGTAACGTCAAGGTAATGAGGATAATCAGGTTCGCTCTTCCTCTAGACATGTTTCGTCTGGTGAGTTCTTGTGAAACAACGAAGGAGATATGGGACAGGTTAAAAGAACTCTATTCAAGCGATGCAAATCTTGAACATTCAGTTCAAACATTAATTCTTTCGGAGTTTGGTTCTTTTGCTCAAAAGCAAGATGAGAAAGTTGATCAAACATTTAAACGTTTTAATCATCTTTTAAGCAGGATGTTAAAACACAAAATCAGGCGTGAAACGATAGAGCAAAAGGTGATGTTCATGAACGGTTTGAGATCAGAATGGAAAGCAGTGGTGTCAACCGTAAAAGCTCATGAATAGATTAAGAATTATACTTTGGTTAAGCTAGTGGGAATTCTTAGATCCCACGAAGACGAAGTGACGAAAGATGTTAAGCTTGTCTCCAACATGGGTTCGTTGGCCCTAGTAGCAAAGGGAAAAAAGGTAGCAAAATAAGATTTAGAGTCAGATCTCTATGATTGTAAACTTACGAAAGAAGAATGCACTCTGATGGTGTCAAATCCCAAAAAGTTTTCCAAAAAGAATTTTGGACGCCTTAAAAACAGGAATTGACAAGGGAACTACAGTTCGGACAAAGCAAAGGATAAGAGCCACACCAACTCTCAAAAGGATAAGGTGAAGAAAGAAAAGAAGCTAATGGGAGATTCCGGCTATGACTGCAACTATTGTCATGGCAAGAATAATTTGGCCAATGAGTGTATGTTGAGAAGAATGAGTGAGATGAAGGATGAAGAAGATGATGAAGCTTACTATCTTCGAAAGATAGAAGAGCTTAGAAAGAAAAATAGTGTTGATAGTGCTAAACCTGTTTAGATTGTGCAGGAGGATGTTGATAATTTTGGACGTGTTGAAGTCTAGTCAATAGATTCAGAAGACGAGGAAGTTAGGAATCCCATGCATGGTGGATGCTTCGTAGTGAAGTCTGGAGTCCCTGAGTACGAGGGAAGTTGCTTGATGGTTCGTAGTGATGTCTCGGAGTAGAGAGGATACGCCACTGACAGTGCGCAGGCCGCTGACAACTTTTTTGCTGCAAGACCTGTTTCAGAACAGTTCAGTGAATGTGAGAGAGTCATCACTAAGGTACAATGTATTCTCCATTCTCTTAATATTCCAGTCACTCGTTACGAATATGAATTAGACGATTTTTATTTTACTGTCTCTAGTTTTAGTGATATCTTAAAAAGAACATGTTTAAGCAATTCTAACCTAACTGATCAAATCAGCAGGATAACAAACAAGAGTGACGAGAGACGGATATGGATAGAGAAGTTGGAGTTAGAGCTGACTAGGTCTAGGGATGATGTTATTGATTTGAAAAGAGACAATTTAGCGCTTTTAAAACAAAGAAATATTTTATGTTTGATTGCTAAGAGGTTATATTTTAACATTACCCAACTGCATCTTGACTGTGAAATAGGGAAAAAGATACAGAAAATGATTACCCTTTCTCGAATTGAAAGGGGATGAAATCGATCCAGAGTGTTATAAGTGCGAATCCACTATGTCCTCGGATGATGTTTTTGAATCTTATAAAATTAGGCTTGACAAAATTGAAGCATATATTCAGTACAAAGAACATAAAAGCATGTTGAAACAAATGTTGGATGAAAATGATAAAAGAACACATTGAATCTAATACTGTACAGAAATTTCACTCTTTATGCACAAAATTGAGTTCGGAAAACACTTTTGATGCTGAAATGATTCTGAATTTGACGAAAGTGACATGAGTGAGATCTTCGTAGAGGATGAGATCGATTGTTCAGCTTTTGTAGAAAATGAGGATGTGCCAAAGAAAAAGTTGATTTCTGGAAACTCAGTTGATTATGTTTGTATTGTTGAAAATAATGGTTCGGATGTTTTAAAAGCAAAAGCTATAGTATTTCCGAAAGTACAAATCGTCCCTAATCAAGTTTTCGTAAAAAACGGACTGGACAAAAATCAAACATCCCAACTAACGTCCTTAGTAGATGATGATAATGTAGATGGTTGCGATAAATTCTTTTGGTCAGGACCAATTGATAACTCTGATGAAACCAAAGGTCTTTCCGAAATAACCTCTTGGAAAACCAAAGGGAGATATTTCGCATAACCATTGAATTGTGTTAACTCTTGTTTTGATAAAGCTAGTCCGCGTGGCACCAAAGATGTCCCAAATGAAACATCTTACGAACAGACTGACTTACCTGTTAGAAAATATAAAGCTAAAGCCAAAATTTATAAGTCAGCCGAGGAACATATTGCCAATAAAAGACAACTAAATTCTAGATATCAGAAAAATCTAAAAGAAAGAAAGCGATTAAGGAAATCTAAAAATTCCAATTTAATTAACCCAGAAAAATTCTCAAATCAAAATGCGAAATTCTCTCAAAATCCGGAACCTAATTCGTCTTCAAAGGCACAATCTTCAACTCCACAGGTTTCAAAACCAAAAGTTTTTCTGAAACCATAATTTTCAAAACAAACGAAACCTTTGGAAAAGACAAAACCTTATTTTTCTCCAAAAACAAATGTTTCAAAAAATGTCAACACATCGAAAGATGTTAAGGGAAAAGGAAAAGCTGTTTCAGAACCTGATATTTCATTCAAGGAATCCAAAACAAACTTGCACAAGGAGGAAAAGAAGTTCATGAAGAAGGTAGCTAAAAAAGTAATTGAAACTAAACATAGACATAATCATTTTAAAGAAAAGAATTCCAAAGATAATAGGATTGTTGTTTTCAAAATAACTAAAGGAGAGAATTCCACTTTGATAAAAAGATTGTACTAGGTTGATGTAGCTATAAGTTTTCATGTTCTTAAGAAAACCTCACGAAGACCCAAACAACTTTGGGTTCCTAAATCTCTCTAAATTTTGTAGGTGATTCGTGACGAATAGGACAACTCAGAATGGTATATTGATAATGGTTGTTCGTGTCACATAACTGGAAGGAGAGAAGAGCTGAGGGAATTCTTATCACTAATCGAAGGAGGCAAAGTGAAGTACGAAAATAATGCCATGAGATAGATCTAAGGAAATGGCTTGATCACAAATGGAAAATTCTCCATTCGCAAGGTAGCATATATGGAAGGCTTGCAACATAACCTGATATGTGTTTTTTAATTGGTTGCATGTACAGGGATGAAAGTTTCATTCGATGATGAGGGATCTAAAATTATAGAGAAGAAAAAAAGGCAATACTTCTGAAATCCAAAAGAAAGGGATAGATGTTTCTTTTGGATATAAAGTCGATCACAGGAAAGCCTTCAATATGCCTTCTTACGAAAGCATCTTCGGATGATAGTTGGTTATGGCATCGAAGGCTCTCACATTTCAACTTCAAGGACATTAACAAACTTGTACTTGGCGATGTTGTACGAGAACTACCTCTTATGAAGTTTGAGAAGGAACATCTCTGTGATGCTTGCAAGCTAGGAAAGCGAAGCCGAAAGAGTCATTTGACTATCATCAACACCAAAGTGATTGAGCCACTTGAACTATTACATATAGATCTTTGTGGTCCTTTTGCCATCGAGAGTATTGGTGGTAACAAATACATTTTAGTTATGGTTGATGACTTTTCCAGATTTACTTGGGTTTATTTTCTTAAATAGAAATCAGATGCAACTTCCAAGCTTAAGGACTTTATCAAGCAGATCGAGCTTCAATTGCAAAAGCTAGTTTGGAAAATTCGCAGTGATAACGGTTTGGAATTCAAAAACCAAATGTTTGAATAATTCCTGACTTAAAAGGGAGTTGTTCATAACTTCTCTGCTCCTTATACTCCTTAGCAGAACGAAGTCGTTGAAAGATGAAACCGGTCTGTTTGCAAAGCTACGAGGACTATGTTATCTTTTGCGAACTTGCCACTTTATTTCTGGAATGAGGCTATCGGAACTTCTTGCTTCACTCAGAATCGATCTCTCATCAATAAAAGATTTTCAATCAGTCCTTATGAGATTCTAAATAAACGAAAACCTAATTTTAAGTTATTTCGTGTTTTTGGTTCCAGGTGTTTTGTCTTCAATTCTAAAGAGCAATAGAAGAAGTTTGATGTGAAAACAGGTGTTTTGGGTTCCAGTAAAACTTTCTCTTCCCAATGGAAAGGGATCAGTCATAGTCAACTCGGTTGGCCAAATGATAAAGAGAAAGGCTAAGTCTGAGATAGTCCCATGTATCAGTACCAAAGAGTCTGTATATTCCTATTGCCAAAGGAAGGTGCATTGGTTGCGAACCTACCAAATTGACCTGAAAGATCATTAGGATGGTAAATTCAAAAGTTTGACTCTACTTCAGGTAGAGTCCACTGTCTAACTCTATTAACTTCCTATTTCAAGATTCTTATTACATAATGTGACTGGGTCACATGTTGATGTTTTAAGAATCAAAGAAAATAGAGGAAGCTTAAAGGAAGTATATGTTGATTCAGATCGCGAAGATGGATTTCATTCACATGGTTTGGTGATCAGAATTTTGAGTTGTTGCTTAAGAGTTGTGATATATTGCTTAGGA